GCAGCCGTCATTGTTGTTTGGCGGGTCCGGGCTGGGGATTCGAACCCGCCACCTTAGGTGTACGTGGCTGGCGCCTTAGCCCGTTGAGCTATAGGCGCCGAGCCCAGTCACTCATTTATTAAGCTTCAGGGTCAGCAAACAGCTTTTAAAATCAAACACTATTCCCAACTCAAGGAAGACAAAAATTTTTCAAAAGCCCCAATTTATTAGAATAAGAAACAAGGAAGCATCGTGAAGCAGCACTGGCTGCAGGCAGAAGGACATACTATAGAAACTAGAGTTTTTTCATCCTTCCCACTTTGAGTTTGTCTCAAAAACATTTCTTAATTTTAAAATCATTTCAAAGCCAAGATAAACTACTTTATTTTAAAAACATTTCAAAGCCAAGATAAACTACTTTTGTATTATCCACCACTTTATTACACTTATGCTTCCTATTAATGGACACCTAAGGTTCTAAGAAATGTCATAAGATGTTTTTGTTACAGAAGACACTTTCTATGTAACTCAGACAGCAAGGATACAGCAAAGGGCTTTGGCCAGGGATCCTGCCAGCAGAGTTTCTGTATGTTGACCCTTTATGTCACCTGCAAATATTAAAAAGAAAATATTAAAAAGATAATTTTTAAGAACTTGCTTGAACTAAAATCATTTAGCATTTCCTTGAACTAAGTATGCTTAGAACCAAAGGATTCTGCACGAGTGGAATCAAAATATGACATTTTGAAACCGGAGGTTTAAAAACATACCAATTTGTTCTCAGTCATGCTTCAATAAGCAACTTGTTCACCTTTTCTCAATTTAAAATATCCTGGTGTCTGTTCATGGGCTGGGGGTTAGGGGAATGGGGAATGAATATGGCGTTTTAGTTTCGAAAAACAAGAAAGTTCTGAAGAAGGAAGGTAGTAATGGTTGCACGAAGTGAGCGATCTCAACAACAGCTAACTGTATACCTAGAAATGGCTAAAATGGTAAATTTTGTTATCTATATTTTATCACAACAAAAACACTAATTAAAATATCCTGCGATTTGGGGCTGGATGCGCTGGTGCACTCCTGTAATCCTAGCACTGTGGGAGCTGAGATGGGTGGATTGCTTGAGCTCAGGAGTTTAAGACCAGCCTGAGCAAGAGTGAGGCCCTATCACTACTAAAAACAGAAAAATTAGCCAGGTGTGGTGGCTCAGGCCTATAGTCCCAGCTACTCTGGAAGCTGAGGGAAGCGGATCCCTTGAGCCCAAGAGTGTGAGGCTGGCATAAGCTATGACATGGCACTCTACCCAGGGTGACAGTAAGACTGTGTCTAAACAAAAATTCCTGTTATTTGGGAAGATTCAAATTTATGAATGATCATACATAATTGTACAAAATGCCATGAATAAACATAGGGCACCTGGACAGGATTCCTGCCTCCCGTGTCCCACTACCCTTGTGCTGGTCACTCCCAAAGCATGGCCAGTGAAAAGAGGACAGAGAAACTCTTCCCTCTGGCTATGGGAAGCCAGGAGGGAGGATGCTACTAGTTTGCTGTCTTGGGTAAAAAAGGTTCCCTAAGAAATCAAAATCCTAATCCTGGAATTCAAGAGGGTGAGGAATCTAGATTAATCCTCTACTGGCAGCTGGTCCAGGACAACTGGTACCCCATGGGTGAGGTCACATCAGGAAAGGTCTTCAACACCATGAAAGTTGTTTTTTTTGTTTGTTTTGCACTTTTTGGCCAGGGTTAGGTTTGAACCTGCCACCTCGGCATATGAGGCTGGCGCCCTAATCCTTTGAACCACAGGCGCTGCCCAACACTATGAAAGTTGAGACTTTTACCTGGAGGCCAGTGGTTCTTAAAGCAAGATTCTAGAACCAGCTATAGGAGCAAGGTTTTAACAAGCCTTCCAGGTGATTTTTAAAAGCTTTATTGAGGTATAATTTACTGACCATAAAGTTTATTCCTTTTGGATATGCAATTCATTTATTTTTAGTAAATTTATAGTTGTGCAACCATCACCACAGTCCAATTTTGGAACAGCTTCCATTACTTCAACAGGTCACCTAGGCTGGTGTACCCATGTCATTCGCCTGTCTCTCCCTAGCTCTGGGCACTAACTACTTTCTGTCTCCATAGAGCTGCCTTTTCCCTCCAGGTGATTCTAAGCAGACTAAGATTTGAAAACCACCACCCACTGGCAACAGGGAGCCAGCAGAGGCCTGGAAGCTGGGGAAATGGCAATTTCAACTTAAAGACTTAACCTGGGAGACAAAATCAGAAGACCAGTTAAAGGAAGCATTACAATCATCAAGGCAAAAGCCTATAAGGTGAATGTGCCCTACAGGGAGCACTTGGCAATGTCTGAAGGTATATTTGTTTATCACAACTAGGGGATGATATGGCATCTAGTAGTGGGTGGAGGCCAGGGATGCTGTTAAGTAATTTACAATGCACAGGACGGTCCCCACAGCAGAGAATTGTCTAGCCCAATTTAGATAGAAGTGGTCAGGCTATCTAAAGCTAAATTACTGGGATTTCATATCAGATTAGATATCAGAGTTGAGAAGAAAAGAGTCAAAAATAGAAGCTTTTAATTTGGAAAACTAGGTGGATGAGGTTGACAGAAATAGGGAATGGAATGGCAGTATAATAGAAGGCAAAGATAATAAATTTAAAAAAGGCTCGGCTCCTGTGGCTCAAGCAGCTAAGGTGCCAGCCAC